GGATAGTCAACTCTCAGGGGTGAAGGTGGGGGGGGGGATGATTCATTATCCGCGGTGTTCGGTCACCCCCAAGGGTGCACGATCGAAGACGAAGAGGGCGGGTATCGAGGGTTTGGGATATACGTGTTGAATGGCGCGCGAGCAGCGAGCAGATGAGAGCGAACAATCTTAAAATGATTGTTGTTGTCGTCGCCCCACACGCGACCCACCCGCGACCGACCCTGCGAACCAAGCGCTACTCACCCGCAACCCAACCGCCACCTACCCCGCGCCCGCCCCTTCACTCTTATCCTCAAGTGCGGGGTGCTACGCAAAACTTCTTGACCCAGCCAGCGGTAGCTGGCGCTTCGCCAGACGGACAGGGGCAGATAGACTGAAAACGGGCGCACGTGGCCTGGTGGGCGACAGAAGCTTGTCGCCCCAGGCCGATGCCCGTTCTGGGCAAGCGGGGTTGCTGGGGGAGGCTGAGCGGCCCCGGAGGCTCGGGGCTGGCTCTGAGACCGAGGGCGAAAACTACAGCAGGAGCTCGAACACAAGAAACCTTCCACAAGAAACCCAACCCTGGGACCCCAAGACGTCCATTGGTTTCTGGTGTGGGAACGCCACACTCGCCGTAGTAAAACCATGGACACCCCAGAAATCCAGGGCACCCTGGAGGCATGCAGGGTGCCTTCTTGGCATGGGTCTCCACTGTGCAGGTGGCCACGCCTAACTTTTCCTCTCTGCGCGGGCGCTCCTCGTCCGCGCCACCGCCATCAATGCGCACACCGAGCTCGAGGGGCGAGACGAGGCTCGACGACCACACGTGAACCCTGCGGCAGGTTCGTGTCGTGACGACCCTGGCGGTGGTTTCTGACACCGCGTGGATCGCTCAACCCTGAACGATCGGCGGCTTTCCGATCGCCCGATCGTTCCATGTAGGCCGACTCTGGGCCACTGGCGGCGTTCAACCTTGAACGCCCGCCCGCCGCGGGGTCGCCGCTGGTCGACGCGACGCAAACCTGCCGTACCCCTGCAGTTCAGAGATGTTCGGAGCTCTGAAGAGCTAGGTGGGGTTATGAGAATTCGAAGGATGTCTTCTGCAGCCAGGCGAGCCCCATCTGGGGGTGCCCGATGCCCCAGCCACGACTGGACCTACAGGGACAGAGTTCGCAGGTGGTCGCAGGAATCTGATTGTGTGGGGGGGGGGGGGCAGGCAGGGCTGGGCAACAGACGACGCGAGAGAAAAGGAAGGGGACTGGGGAGGCGAAAGGGGACCGATACCGCTACTCCCCGGACCTCTCCCGCGGCGGCGCACTCTGACCAGAACTTCGAAGGAGAACCCAGCCGCGGCGACGAGGGCTCGCAAGGACGAGCAGCGGCATCGGTATCCCACGCCACCTGGCCTCGCGCATCGCGCATCGCGCCCCGCGATGCGCGGTTCTCTTCGCGCCCTCGCGCCCTCGCGCCGCTCCCCTGGAGAGAGGCAACTGTCCAACCCAAGCCGCGATGCGCGACGCGCGGTTCTCTTCGCGCTCCGTGGGGTGACCTGGGTATCGGCTACCTTTTGCTCCTCTGAGAGGAGCGGGGCTCTGGCAGGGCCCAGCGCCGCAACGGAGGCGTGCTCAGTCCGCCTTGGAGGCCGGCCTCTCGCTGGCGCCGAGGCGCACCACCTTCAGGCCCTTCGCGGCCACCGCTGGCGGCAGGCAGTCCTTGGCGTTGGCGTCGAACAGCCGCTGGAGCTCCGCGACATACCGCTCGAACACTTCATTCACCCGCTCGTCGCTTGGATCTGCCTAGAGGATTTAAAACAGTGGCACAATCATGAGCTCTCGGACATCCGCGCGGACTTCTTGGATGGGCGCTGGACCCCTTGGCGGCGCCTCCAGGGGGTCCAGCGCCCATCCAATAAATCCGCGCTGACCTCCGAAAATTACTGCTGATGCAGATCTTCTTCTTCGATTTCCTCCTTCTCTCCCACGTCAACGGGATTGCCCCAGCGGATGTGGACGTCCGTTGCCCTGGGAAGCAGGCCGGCCATCGGAATGCCGAACTTGGCGGTGACGATGGGCAGAGTCATCCCGGTGAGTCGTTGGATGATCTTGGTGATCTTCTCCAGTCCGCCCACTCGCTTGTACAGCTGGTTCTCCCCGAAGAGGTAGAGCGGCATCAAAGGCCGCCCGTGCTGGATCGCCAGCTTGATGAACCCTAGCTTTGCCGGGAAGAAGGCCTGCTCCTGACCGTTCAGAACGAACTGCGTGCTTTCGGAGGACTAGCTTTTCGAAGCCGAATTCGTCTCCAAAAGCCACGCCCGTCTTCCAAATCCCACCAGCCGTCTGGGCGAAGGTGGTATAGCGAATTGTTTTCTTCCCTAGTCACCACCCCTCCTTCCCCTGCTCTGGGGAAGGGTTTGTCACTGTTCCCTATTAGTATACACCCCCTCCCCCAAGCGACCGGCAGCCAACCAGGAACAATGAGGACACCATGCGGACACCCCCCACAATCCCTGCGAAAAAATACTCTGCCTCCACATTTGGAGCATGCCTGTCAAAAAACTATAAATCGTACACTTTGGGGCAAAGTCTTGCATCATGTTCGTGAGGCCCGCGAGCACTTTGTATTGTTTTGACAGAGGCGGCGTGGGTGTCAGCATATTGCCTGCCGCGCGCAGGGCTACCATCCCTGAACAAAAACATTGCAACAAGCACCTCGCGGCTAAATCTGGATCATGCGCGGCCACCCCGCAATCACTGTGAAGTGGTTTTTCACAGGGACGGCGGGGGTGGTGGCGTATGACCTGCTGTGCGCAGGCCCACCAGACACAATGATGGGTATTGGTTTTCGACAAAGATGGCGGGTGCCGACATGTTTCCCAATGTGTGCTGTCACGTGCGCAGGCGCACCTGACACCCTCCGCACGTGCCCCGAACGTGGCGCACCTAGCGTGGATGGAGTATGCGGCACACCTGGCGCACGCGGAGCACGTGGCGCATCTGGCGCACCAGGCGTGCCTCTCACACTCGGGCCTCAGGGGTGCCTGGCGCGCGTGGCGTGCCTGGCACGCGTGGCGCACCTCGCCCCTGCATCGCGCACATGGGGTCGCTTTTGGTTCCCAGTAGGTGTTCATCCAAAGACGACGGCTGAACATGCTCAGGCTCGGGTGTTACTTTATGTGTTGGGAGGGCAGGTGGGAGTGAGCTGGACGGCTTGCTATCTAGTAGGGTGTCTTGACCACTGCTCCTTATTGATATACACCCCCTCCCCCAAGCGACCGGGGGCCAACCAGGCACCATGCCGACACCATGCCGACCCGCCCCCCACCATCCCTGTCAAAAAACAATTCAAACAACACTCCGCCTCCACATTTGGAGCATGCGCGGCCAACCCGATGCGGCCCTCCCACCATCCCTGTCAAAAAACAATGCAAAGTATACCTTGGGGCAATGTCTGGAGTCATGTTCGTGAGGCCCGCGAGCACTTTGTATTGTTTTGACAGGGACGGCGGGGGGTGTCAGCATATTCCCTGCTGTGCGCAGAGCTACCATCCCTGAACAAAAACAATACAACATGCACATCGCGGCTAGCTAAATCTGGATCATGCGCGGCCATCCCGCGATCACTGTCAAGTGGCTTTTGACAGGGACGGCGGGGGTGGTGGCGCGTGCCCTGCTGTGCGCAGGCCCACCAACCACAATCATGGGAATCGGTGTTCGACAAGGATGGCGGGTGCCGACATGTTTCCCGATGTGTGCTGTCACGTGCGCAGGCGCACCTGACGCACTCTGCACATGCCCCGAACGCGACGCACCTGGCGCGGCTGGAGTGCGCGGCACACCTGGCGCACTCGGAGCACGTGGCGCATCTGGCGCACAAGGCGTGCCTATCACGCTCGGGCCTCAGGGGTGCCTGGCGCGCGTGGCGCCCCTGGCACGCGTGGCGCACCTCGCCCAAGCGTCGCGCACCTGGGGTCGGCTTTGGTTCCCAGTCGCTGTCAATCCAAAGACGACCGCTGAACGTGCTCAGGCTCGGGTGTTACTTATGTGTAGGGAGGGCGGGTGGGAGTGAGCTAGACGGCTTGGGTAGCTTGACCCCTCCTCCTGCCCCCTCCCCTGGGCCTGGACGGGAGGGCGGGGGCGAGGTGTCAGAGGGCCCGTTGTGGTCCAAGACGGCTCCAAGAGCGCCCCCAGATGCTGCACGATGGCCTCCAAGATGGCTCAAGACACCTCAAGATAGCTCAAGAGAACTTCGGACATACCTCAAGAGGCTCCAAGACCGCTCCAAGATGGTTCGAAGTACTCTTCGAGCCCTCCGAGGCACCCTCCAAGAGGCTCAAACCCTTCAAACTTGTAAAGTAAATCAATGTGTTTGGCCTTCTCGCCTTCTGGTTTCCGCTTGGCTTTTGGGGCCTCATGGTGGCCCTAAACCGGCCCAAGAGAGCCCCAAGAGGAGCACAAGATGGTCCCAAGACGGCCTCAAAAGCGCCCCCAGAGCGCCCCAAGAGGGCTCCAAGGGGCACTTGTTCGGCCTCCGATGGGGGGGACCTGCATTTAGGACCCCCCCCTCTCTTTTCGAATCATAGGGCCTAACATTACCCGACGACGAGGCCTCCCGGACGCCCCCGAAGAGCCCCAAAAAGCTCCAAGAAGCCCACAAAAGATCCGAAAGGTTCCCACGATTGCTCCGAAGTGGTTCCAAGAAGTCTCCGATAAGCTTCGAAAAAGCTCACGGATCGAAAGCTCCGCGAAGGCTTTGCGGTTGACTCGTGTTTGTCGTCGTCGCCTTCATCATCGCCTCCTACTTCCTCCGCCATCCTGCTACTGGTTCTCCCTCTTCGTCTTTCACTCCTCCTCCTCCTCCTCCCATTTTCTTGTCCGACTTCCTGCTCCGATTGTCGAAGATGGCGACTTGCCCGCCCCGAGAGGGCCCGAGAGAACTCCAAGAGGGCCCCCAGAAGAACCAAATGAAACCGCCGTGGCATGGAAACATGCGCTAAATGAGTCGACCAATGTTCCCGCCGCCTGCGCCCCCAACACGTCTCCAAGGCGGCTGTTCCACTGCCTGCTTCCACACTTCCATGGGCAAAGCAACTCGCCTGGCGATCGTTTCTGGATGGGCCAGTGGGGATATACGAAGCGTCCAGAGTTTTTGAAATCGACCAGGACTTATCAAAACACGCAGTTCGCTCCTGGTCTTCCCGCGTCGCTGCCTGCTCCTTCACACCACCCGGCTGGATGGCAACGCTGGCGCCGCTTTTCAAGAGGGTCTCGATCGTCTTTCGGTCCACCGGCCTGGCATTCGTCAGCGAGAAAATCTCCCCTAGTATCGGAATGTTGAAGAGCAGGGGGATGCACGTCCCGAACCAGGGGCGACCGTGGGGATGACCGCCCACGGCCATGCTTCCCATGAGGAAGGAAGGCACGAAAGAGATGAAGCCGTGCGGATGCCAGACGTAGATGTAGGCCTTGGACTTGTCGGCCGAGACGCCTTCGCCGCCCTCTGACTTGACCTTCACGCCGTTCAGCGCCGCCCATCCCGTCATGCAAGACGCCACCAGCTCGCCCAGCCATGTCGGGCCGACCCTTCCGCCTTTGCGAATGACATCCTGCAGGTGTCCCAGCCGCAACATCAACCACACGCCATACAGCGTCGCCGTGCCGAGGATCCGGCGCATCCACGCCCCAGCACTCGAGCGGTCAAAATCGGTCAGCGCCATGGTCGGAGGGAAGAAAAACGAGGACCATGACCGAGATGTCCCGGGATCTCGTCCATGCCGATCTTGGTCATAGTCCATGTCGGCCGTCACCGATTCGCGAGAATGATGCATGAATTGACGCTGACCAAGATCGACGCTGACCAAGATCGACACGACTCTTCCGCGTGCATTCTTGGTCATGGCCCCCTGTTTCTTCCCCTCCAATGGTGTCGCTGGATTGAGGCTGTGGCGCGTACTGAAGCGTCCAAGCGAAGCGCCTCGTGCCTCGGATGTCTGCTGGCTCGAGCTGGCGCTGGATCGAGCCAGAGCGGCCCACTGCAGCCCCATGGTGATCGGCGATGGGCCTTTGCGCTGCAGGAACGGAGACCGACGCCGACCGACGACTGGCGCGCGCGGCCACATGCGCGACAGGGGCGACCAGGGCCCTGGCACGCACGCGCGGACACGCACTCGCCAGCCTACGTCCACTGCAACTCGCATCTGATGGTCTTGTTTTCCACCACCACCACCATAAGCTGGAGGAGGAGGAGGAGGAGGACGAGGAGGAGGAGGAGGAGGAGGAGGAGGAGGAGGAGGGGAGGAGGAGGAGGAGGAGGAGGAGGACCCCCTCCCCCTCCCAGTTATGGTGGTGGTGGTGGAAAACATGCCCATCAGCATCTCCATCTCGCGGAGCTTCGCCCGGGAGCCACACGGACCGAGGCAGGCGCCTGCCGGCGCGTCACTGCTGGGCTGGCAGGGGCGGGGCGTCAGGCCCCTGCCCTCGGGGAGCGCCGCAGCGAGTGATGCCGAGAGCCCCCCTTGCCGAGGCCCATGGGCCGACGCAAAACTGCAGGCGGCCAATGGCTGCAGGTGGACCACTGGTGGGCGAGCAACGACATATGTACATGTACGCCCTCCGCGGTCTTGCCTGCACGAACGTCCGCGTTGACACGCACTCCAGGGGAAGCTAACCGCGTACGTGTACATATGTTGCTGGCCTCTGAACTGGGCCCCAACTCGAACGTCCAAACGTGGCGCGCGGCACAAGCCCACTTGACCAGCTGCGGCGCAACCAGGCCTGAGACGGCTGCATCCGGGCGCCAAGCGCTCTGCGGCCTGCGCAGCTTTGTCTGCGCCACAAGCCACCCGCGGCAGAGAACCTCAGGGAGTGGGCGTGGCTCTACGGTGATGGCATTGGAGAAAAAACCCTTGGAAAAGGAATCCAGGGTCTGAAAGCCACTGGAACACCAATGGTCACCGCCGTTCTCATCTGATAAGGAATCCTCCAGGGCCTGAAGCCTCCAGGGTACAATCCTTGACGAGCGCCCCTGCAATGCATACATATATATATATATATATATATATATATACATATATTATATACATATATTATATACATATATATAGTGCATCTATATACATATTTATAGTGCATATATAAATGTACATATAACTATATATATATATGAAGAGAGAGAGAGAGAGAGAGAGAGAGAGAGAGAGAGAGAGAGAGAGAGCGACAGATTTTGGTGATCAAACTGCTTCCAGGGTCGCAGCACTGCTGACGGGCCCCGCCAAGAGAGTGCAGAGAGGCGGGCGGGCCTGGTCTCGCCGAAGACCCCTGGCTCATGCATGGTATCGTCTGCGTCCCGTGCTCGGGTGGCCAAGGCGTTCCTTCATGTCTGAAGTGTGTGTGTGTGTGTTCTTCCTGTGGCAAAGTGTCTTTCGGGTGCTAGCCATGCCTGGGCGCTGCACTCGCGAACATAGCTGGCATGCGGAAGCGAATTATAGCATTCCCATGAAAGGCCTGCACCCAGGGCGGCAGGACATCGTTCTTGCATTGCCCTCTGTCAACGTATGAGCAAGAAATGGCATGGCCACAAGATCCACATCAAGAGACGTATTGATCGCGTGTTTTCCCTGATGCTACTAACCTGAGGGTAACTGCCCGTGATATATATATATATATATATATGGAGATACACACACATACATATGTGTATATAGACAAATATATACCGATGTATAAAGATATTCCCCAAAGTGTGCTTGCGCTTAAGAATTCTTCCTCGTGTTCTACAGAACTGGCCCTGGCAGCCGGTCAGGCGGCTCCGTGCTCGCCGTCGACGCCCCGTCGCCGCCTCGTCGCCACCCGTCGTTTGGGCTTGGCTGCTGGTCTGGCGGCTCCGCGCTCGCCGTCGCCGCCCCGTCGCCGGCTAGATTGCACAACAGAGCATCACGTAGATTCTCCTTTCTAAAAACAGAATAGGATGTACCCCCCCGGCGTTATCGGCCCCCCTCTCGGGTATGTAAATCATATACGATTATGACCACATGTCTATCCCGAAATATGATTTTACACTATCCCAGGCCAACCAGATTCCCCCCCCCCTTAGGTTTCCTTGAAAAAACACTATGCGGAGACATTTGTTGTTCTAACATAGCATTTGTTCACGAATCCCTTGCCCAAAAAACAAACGAAGTGCACACGCGAGCGTCGTCGCGCGCGCATGCCGAAATCCTTCAAAAACCTTCGGTGCCGGAAGGATTTCGCAATCGAGTTTCCAAGACAACATACAAAAACACAGGGTTTCGCAACATTGATTTGCTAAACAAGCTTCCGCGCGAGCCCTTGCGAAATCTTAAGAGAAACAAGGGTTTTTCAAGATTTTCAAAAAGTGCTATTAAACGGGCTTCGCGCGCGCATGTCGAAATCTGTCGAACGCCCTTGCGCGTGTGCCGTCGCGAGAATTCTCTGCAAAAAAGGGACGAAGTGCAAACGCGCGCGTCGTCGCGCGCGTATGCCGAAAACCTTCAAAACCCATCGGTCTCGGAAGGATTTCAAATCGTGTTTCCCAAAAACCTACAAAAACCCGGGGTTTCACAACACGGATTTTCAACAAAAGCGTGCGCGCGCGCTCTTGCGGCGGCGTCGTCGTCGTCGTCGTCGTCGTCGTCGTCGTCGTCGTCGTCGCCGTCCTCCCTCCTTCCGCGTCGTCGTCGTCGTCGTCGCCTACGTCGCCGTGTGTCTTTCTTCGTGTTCGTCGTCGTCGTCCTCTTTGGCGTCGTGGTCGTTTCCGTCGCCGTTGTCGCCGTGGTCGTCATTCTTCCTCCTCCTCCCTCGTCGTCGTCGTCGTCGTCGGCGTCTCGTCGTCGTCCCCCCTATTTCGTCGCCGTCGTCGTCGTCTTTTCCGTTTCGTCGTCGTCTCCCCTCCTCCCTCGTCGTTGTCGTCGGCGTCGCCGTCCTTCCTCCTTCTTCGTCGTTCGCGTCGTCGCCGCCCTCCCTCCTCCCTCGTTGTCGTCGTTGTCGTCGTTGTCGTCGTTGTCGCCGTCGTCGTCCTCCCTCCTCCCTCGTCGTCGTCTTCGTTGGCGACGTCGTCGTCGTCTTCGTCGTCGTCGTCGGCGTCGTCTTCGTCGTCGTCGACGTCGGCGTCGTCGCTGTCAAGTGCCATGTGGTACCCACCGTCACGGTCTTAAGGGGTCTTGCGACCAAGTTGCGGGTGGGAGGGTGGGATGTTTGCACGAGCAGTGGGAAGGACAGCTTCAAGTTGAGCAGGTGATTGATTGCACTGCGTAGATTACACCACATATTTTGCACAACGTAGACTCTCCTGCCTGAAAGAAGAATAGACTCTACCCCCCCCGCCCCCGGGAATTCACGGCCCCCTGTCCGCATTGTAATGCACGTGCGATTTTGCCCCATCGCCCATCCTTAATACGCCCCATGCCCCATTCTATCCCAGCCAGGCCGGTGCCGGCCCCCCCCGCAATCCTCCGCAAAAATACTATGCGCGCGCGATTTCATGTCACCGCGCGGTGCACACGCGATACTCCTGTCATGCGCCGAGGGCGCGAATCCTTTGCAGAAAAAGCCGCGCGGGCCACGTGCGCGCACCGCCGCGCGCGCATGATCAGTCTGACGGATTTGTTGAACTTCCGCGCGCGCGGATTTCCTTTTCAACCTTGTCAGCATCACCGCGATCACCTGCCTCATCGACAGATAGACATCAGCATCGCCAGCGTGTTTACCATCATCGGCGCCGTTATCGTTCGTGCCGTCACCCACTTGAACATCGTCGTCGCTGGTGCAACCTTCGCAACTGTCACAGACGTTGCCGACGTCATCTTGCCATCGCGCACGTCCGCGTATCGTCGATATGCTCAACTTTCATCATCGACTCACGGTGACGAATGTTATCATCAGTGTCGTCATCGGTGGCGCCGCCGCCCCCCGCATCATGAGTCTTGCCAAACAAGTTGCGGTTGGGAGGGCGGGATGTTTGCGCGAGCCGTGGGGATGACGACTTCAAGTTCAGCAGAGTGGATTCTCCTTCCTAAAAAACAATAGACTCTACCCCCCCCGGGCGTTACCACCCCCCCCGCGTCCTATGTAAATCACATGCGATTCTGACCACATGTCCATCCTAAATATGGAACTAATGTCCCAGGCCAACCGGGTTCCCCCCCCTGAGGTTCCCTTGTTAAAAACGATACGCGGTGACAGTTTTTGCTCTAACATAAGACTTGTTCGCGAATCTCTTGCAAAAAATGAGACGAAGTGCACGCGCGCGCGCCGTCGCGCGCGCATGCCGAAATCCTTCAAAAACCTTCGGTGCTGGAAGGATTTCGCAATCGAGTTGCAAAGAAAAGAAACATACAAAAACACAAGGTTTCGCAACGCTGATTTGCTAAAACAGCTTCCGCGTGAGCTCTTGCGAAATCTTAAGAAAACCATGGTTGTTTTTGTTTGCTTTTTTTTTTTTGCAAAACAAAATCACAACATGCTATTGAACGGGCTTCGCGAGCGCGCATGTCGAAATCTGTCGAACGCCCTTGCGCGTGTGCCG